CCCCTGGAGGACAGAGTGGAACTGCCCCACAGGGTCTCCCAGGCTGTCAGTCTTTACAGGAACACAGTGCCACATCTTTCTTCCTCAGGGAGTGGCTGGTGGGTTCAAACTGCTGACCTTCAGTTAGCAGTCAGTTAACCACTGTGCCACCAGGGTCCGTCTCCCCCCCCCCCCAAAATCAAACCCACTGCCACTGAGTTGATTCTGACTCATAGGGACCCTACCGACTCACTGAATATTAAATATGTAATAAATATTATCAGTTGTTTTAGTAAAGGAACGGGAAAGATGTGACCCTCAGAAGATGAAGGGATAAAGGAAACGTCAGGAAGTGGGCGTGGGAAAGACGTGCATTCAACAACAGCCGACGACGTGTCTGATCCGTGCCAAACTCCATCCGAGTCCAATCACAGCCGTGAACACAAGACTCCAACCTCCCTGCCGGGGCGTCCACGTGGCGAGGACTGACGGAAGCCAAGACAAGTCGTGAGGTAGCGAGCATGTGAGCCGCTGACCAGTGCTAAGGACTGAGGAGAACCGGGGAGGGAGGCACGGAGTGCGTGCCCAGAGGCGGCCCTGGCCCTTGGGGCGCGGTCAGGGAGCGCGGGGTCTCACTGGCTGCTGTGCAGGAAGCGCTCCAGGCCCCTCTTCCTAGTCCCTTGTCTGGAGGCCGCACACACACCTGTTCCGCGTCACAGCAACACCCAGGCCTCCCAGGACTGACGGCTGGTGGGTTCGCCGGAGGTGCCCTGGCCGGGAACCAAAGCTGGGTGTCCCACCCGGAAGGCGTGGGCGCTGCCACTGCCCGCTTGCTACTTCCTCTAGCGTTACCTGGGGCAGGAGGCACGTCCAACTTTCCTTTGTGTTTTGCACAATGCCTGGCTCAGACTGGCTCTCCCTGAAGATGGACAGAAGGAACAAGTCCCCAGTTTGCAGACAAGCAAGACAGCAGGGCTCCCTGAGGGAAGCCGCTTACTGGACAAGGCATCATGGCTGACGGATGGTAGGGCGGGGGCCACGGACCGGAGACGTTTATGTTGATGTTTTGAGCAGCTGCAGACGGCTTCTGGTGAGGCTTATGCCAGGCTGTTTGCTTGAAATTCTTCTTTAAACGAAGAGTTCGTATGTTTTCTTTAAAGTGTGAAACCTTGTGAAGGTTGTGTCTTAGGTATCTAGTTCTGCCGTAACGCAATAGCACACGTGGGTGACTTTAAGGAGTGGACATTTATTCCATCCCAGCTGCGGACGCCGGACGTGCAAATTCAGGGCGCCAGCTGGGGCGAGGCTCCCCTGTCCCCGGAGGGAGGTCCGCGTCTGTTCAGCTCCTGAGCCGTCTGCACGGGGCTTGGCGTCTCTCTGCCCCCACTCTGCCCACACAGTCACCTCACCGGTGCTTTGCACGTCACAAAGGTGCTTGGCACGTCACACAATATGGCGCCTTACCCTTACAGAGAGCGCCCTTTCCCACAGGAGAGCCACCACGGGGGCGGGCTGGGGTTCCCCACACACACTTTAGGGGGCCCAACTCCAGCCGCAGCCCTCAGGTCAGGAAGGCCTCTTCCTAAAACAACTGAAAACTAAACCCTGGGCAGGTGACTATGGAGGAGGCCAGCCTTAGGGTGACGCCTTCGAGAGGCACTTGCTACCTGTGTCCTCTGTCAGGGGTCACAGTATAATCACGTCCCAGGGGAAGGCAGGGCTTTATTCCCGTCTCAGGAGGAAGCCCACGGTGAGAAGCCAAGCTCCGCGGGGCTGAGTTCAAGAAGCTCCCAACGCGCAAACCCAGCTCACGTTCAGAGGCTGCAAGCGCCTCCTCCACTTGCCTCCGTGACTTCTGCAGACTTTGGCGCCGAGTCGACCAGGGCACAGCTCCTGCCCCTGCATTTACCAGCCGGCACCGCTAACCCACTCTAAGTGTCATCGCCCAGAACTTAAACAAAAAAAATCAGTGGGCCAAAAGATAGACATCATTATAATAAAAATATGGTCTCCTCTGTAAAATTGTGTTGCTGTTGTTGTTGTTATTTGCCATTGAGTCGGCCCTGACTCATAGCGACCCCTCCTTGGGTTTCCGAGGCAGTATCACCAGGGAAGTAGATTGCCCAACCTTCCTTCCGAGGAGTGGTTGGTGGGTTTAAACCACCTGCCTTCTGGTTAGCAGTCAAGTGCCTTAGGCACTAAGCCAGTTTCCCTCTTCAAGCTTCAGAAAAGCTTTATTCCCAACCGTCTGGGAAAGCATGCCCTGTCTTCTAACACCCACGGGACAAGTCGGAAGGAGAATTGCACCCGAATTCCTGGCTAATTCCTTCTGTGGCTCCAGTGTGGCCCACCATTTCCTCCTCCCCGTTCCTTGGGCTCACATTACGGGTCAGGAGTTGATTAGTCCTGGCTGATAGCCATCGCACTGCCTTTGGCCAGGCAAGGACCAAGAAAAGCAAGCTGTGAAGACCACCAGGAATGAATAGCTTAGCATCAAGGCTGCTTTACATTGTTAATTGTCTTCGTACTAAAATCTCACTTCAGAATCCACAGTGGGTTTGCGCTTGGGGACATTGGTCCGAAAAGAATAAGCAGATGGCGTGTGTTTAGTGTTGGAGTCATCCATGTGTGGTGCAGTGTCCATGAGGGATCTTAGCGAGGTGTTCTCCATTCACTGTCCGATCCCGGATCTGCCCTGGCCTGAGAACCAGGGTAACTTCTCAGTGTTCAAAACCAGCGTCTTATCTTTTTGCACAGTGACTACAAAGCAGAAATCTGCAAAACATTATGTGTTTAACCTCCTACCTTACATTTGTTTCTTTGTTGTTTAATTTTATTACCAAAATCTGAAAAAGAACAAAATTATTTACCTCGAATTAATTGTGTAATGATTCACTATTCTGCCTCTTTAATATATAGATTCCAAAGTCAAGGTCACTGTCAACACGTCAGTTCTGATTCACAGCGACCCCCATTGGGTTTCAAAGGCTGTAAATCTTTGCGGAAGTAGATCGCCCCATCTTCCTTCCGCAGAGCAGCTGGTGGGTTTGAACCACTGACCTTCTGGTTCGCAGCCGGATGCCTTATCTACTACTCCACCAGAGCGTCTGTATAGATAAGGCTACAGCAAATAACTATAGATATAAATGAAATTTTAAAAACTGATTATGAGCAGCTATGAAGCAGTAAGTCTCAAAACCCAGATGAAATGGTTCAGGACTGAGGAAGAATATAAAGTGTCAAAACTGACACCAGAAGAAGTAGAGAGTATATATCATTTCAGTGGTAAATGCTTCCCGTCCCCCCAAATCCAGGGCCTTATCACATTGCAGGTAGATTCTACCAGACTTTTAAGAGATAATTAATTCATTTCTTGTACAAGGTGCTCCAGAAAGTTGAGCATTTCAGGAAAAGCCCACTTTCCTGTTTTCTGTTCTTGTGGGAGGTGTTCTCTCACATCTCACAGGAACAGAACATCTAGTACACAGAGGTCACCTTAGGGATGTGACTAGCACCCTCCTCCTTCGTTCGCATGCACAAGTAAGACAACAATACGGAGCTCAGCTCGGCTGACACGCTCTCCCCTTCTTTCCTGACCGGTCGCAGGCCCTGGAAAGTGAGTTTGTGTCCTGCCAGCTGCACCAATGGATAGACCTCATCTTCGGCTACAAGCAGCGAGGGCCGGAGGCTGTCCGGGCTCTGAACGTCTTCCACCACTTAACCTACGAAGGCCCCGTGACCCTGGACAGCATCGGGGATCCCGTGCTCCGCGAGGTAGGTGTCCAGCCCCACGCTCTTCCAGAAACGCCTGCCGTCCCTCAGACACTGAGCCGACTTCCCTTCTCTTTCTGTGGGTATTTTCTGTGCCGTAGCTTTTTACAAAAGAGTTGGCGTCTTGACAAGTGTGGGAGAGACTGTGTGTTATACGTCAAAGAGAAGTCATGAGACTGGTGTGATGTTCCTCTTTGAGTTATAGACATAGATGATGTATTTCAATATTCTATTTCGTTTCACTTGAGAATCTTCAAGAAAATGTTAGTGTATTCGTTATGTGTGATATTAATGAATGAAACCTAGTCTAATATGTAGGGAGCCCTGGTGGCATAATGGTTAGGTGCTTGGCTGCCAACCGAAAGGTTGGCGGTTCAAGCCCGTGGGCTGGTTCTGGGGGAGGAAGGCTGGGGGAGCTGCTCCCATAAAGAAGACAGCCCGGGAGACCCCGTAGAGCAGTTCCGCTCGTCACATGGGGTGGCTTGGAGTCAGAATCGACTCAACAAGACCCGACAGTAGCACCAGCTGAATATTTAAATAGTAATATTTCATATGAAGAATATTTAAAAAGTAGTATTTCATATGAAGAGAATCTGTCTGTGTGTTTAAAAAAATAAAGTGCCAAATGGCAACCTTCTAGACAGACTACGCCAAAGAAAGAGAACCCCGCCCTCAATAGATGGACAAGGGCGTTGTCCTTGACACGCGCATGTTCTCATCCTGATGTGTGCAGCTAACTGGGGGACTCCGTGCTATTCCGTGTGTGTCGTTCTGGTGGACGTTTCCTGTGCGATTATTTCAGCCACTTCCACGTTACAGGACCCTTTCCAAGTAGGTGAGCGTGCGGCAGCCGGTGGCCAGTGTTGCTTCGAGGAACCTCATTCTCGGTCTTCCATCCCACCAGGTAGCTGTCATGTGCTCCGTGCAAAACAAGCAGTGATGGTGGTCCACCTTCGTGGCGGTGGTGATGGTGTTTGATTATAGAGGTGGGAGACTCGTAGATTGGGGGAGTGTAGCACCACTACACAAGGTCACATTCACAGAGCAGTTTCTGATATCCTTCTGGGACAGCCGAAACGTTGCATCTGTCTGGCCCAAGACAGAGGCTTGGAAAGGGAAAGGAAGACCCTCCTTATCAAGGATCACGACTGGGCCCTCGGGGCTAAGTCGCCAAGCAGGCTGTTAGGGCTGCAGTGCACCGCGTCCTACAAAGAAATGGAGGTACTGCCCGGAGCTGCGACGAGGAAGCCGAGGGCCGCCATCCCAAATCGACTCGGCGGCAGTGGGCTTGGTTTGTGTGGGTTTTAGATCTAAGTTGTCCCTGTGAGTAGGCCACCTGGAGGCATAGCACCTTTTATTTCCCCAGAACATAAGGTAAACTTTGTGAGATATGCATTGCTCTGCCGTAACTGGTTTTGGGTTTTCTTTCCCCCCCTTCTTTTTTTTCATTGTGATTCGGGTGAAAGTTTACAGAGCAAATTGGTTTTCCATTCAACAGTCCATAGACACTCTGTTTGGTGACGGTCACTGCGATCCCTGCACTGTGACAGCGTTTGTGGCATTCCCTCCCTGCGCCCACCCCTCCCCTTGGCCCTTCCGTCCATTCCCTCCCACCTTCCTAGCTCTGTCCCTCTGTGTGTGTCTTCGTCGCCCAAATACACGCATCTCCCCATTCCGTGTGCGGCCTTGAGCTCCGACTTCCATGATCAACTTCACGCCACGGCTCGAGGCGATTGACTTGTTCCTCCTTGGCAGGTGAACCCACGAAGCGGCACTAACCACAGCAATTATGGCATTAAAATGTCAAGAAATTAGAGGTCAGAATAGCAGATAATTTTCTTCTCTGTGTCAGATTAAAACATTGACATTCCTTGACAGCTCAGGATCTCCGCCTGAGCCGAAGATGACAGCTTAACTTCTCTTATATTTGTAACGCAGTAATTGGTAATCAAGCAGGCCATGACAGCCTTCGGGGCAGAAACATGACGGAGCAGTTCTGGTACACAGCCCGTCCTAATGCGTAAACACGACATCTGCAGACAGGAGGTACCGTTTCAGGCTGCCTTGGGTGTTGACTTGCACCGCACTCTCCCAGACACTAGTTCTCCTGCCTGCGCTCAGCTGCCTCCTTGGAGAGCTGTTTTAAGCATCAGGGTGGACTTTCTTTTCTATTCGCTTGAACATATTAATGACAATTATGTGATCGCTTTGTGTTTTTCCTCACTGAACGGTGGCCCCGAAATGCCATCCTATGACCCAATGAGGAAACGGTGTCCTCGATCAGTCACCCTGCACCCCTTTGCTGCTCACACAAGGGGCGGGTCGCAGACCAGCAGTGTCCGCGTCGGCTGGGAACTCACTAAAGCGTCACTGTCCCTGCCTCCCCGACCTAATGGAACAGGATGAGCGTGCACTGACCTAGATCCCAAGGTCACTGAGAGCCGGCGGCTTCAGAAGCCTTGCTGCACTGAAAGCAGCTAGAACCCTCTGGAAAGCCTTGTCTGTTTTTCCGTCAAAAGGAAAGAGATGGTATAATGACCCCCCAAGCACCAACCATCCAATTTCAAAAAGTTTAACTCTTATTTCATCAATATTCTATGTTCCCACCTCCTCTGCCCATAAACCAAACCCCACTGCTGTGAAATCGATTCTGACTTATAGTAGCGCCTAAGGCACTTGGCTGCGGTTCAAACCCACCAGCCACTCCTCAGAAGGAAGGTTGGGCAATCTGCTTCCCTAGTGATACCGCCCGGGAAACCCAAGGAGGGGTCACTATGAGTCAAGTCAAGTCAATGGCAGTGACTTTGGTTTGGGCTTTGCTTCCAGTGGGTGTGGTTTGGGCTTTGCTCCCATAAAGACTGACAGCCGTGGAGACCCTGTGGGGCAGTTCCACTCTGTCCTCTAG